TTGTTACAAAACTGGAATTAAAAAAAATGAACACTACCAAGAAATGAGTTTAGATAAACACATCAAAATAAATTATGCCAATAATTTTCAGAAGAAAGACTTACCTCCTGAACAGAACATGGCAAAACCACACGGCTAAAATAACAAAAGAAAAAAATATGTATTACACTTTAATGGCTTTAAACACAGATCTCTAAGATTTAAAAAAATCTTTTACTTTAAATCCAATGATACAATAGATAGGACTCTTAAATCTGAAAATAAAATTATGTCATTTATCTAAGAGAGACTTTGCAATTCCCACAACCCTAAATAAAGGTTTCTAAACTACAGGAAAAAAGCTACCTCCCCTGAATTCCAATGATCATTTGTACTAAGTGTCCTCATTGTTCCAGGACCCCAAAGATGCAGTTGCAGCAATTCTTATAAGTAAAATTAAACAAGAAAAAAAAAAAACTCATCATTGAAAATTGCAGGGTACAGAATATATTATCTGCCCTCATGAAATTTTTAGATGGTTTCATCGACCATCTATATGCTGTGCGTTTTGTTTTTATGACACTTCTCAAAGAATATGTATTTTGAATTTCATAAAAAATGTTTCCAGAAACTGTTTCTCTAGTACCCAATTGTTCAAGTGTCATCAGGTAAAAATAAGTAAGGGATCCTTTCAAATTAACACACACACCAAAAAAAAAAAAAAAAGAAAAAGAAAAAGAAAAAGAAAAAAAAAACTCTTTTATTAAGGAAACTATCTTAAACTTTATAATTACAATAATTTTTTCCAGGGTAGACTCAATAAGGTTGATAGATGTTTAATCCTGTCCAAGAATTTTCTATTGGACATACTAAAAGGATATCCTTATAACTCCATTTTACCTATATGGATACAGTATTAAAGAATTATTTTTAAAAATATTATGGTGTTATTATATGTCAGAATATTGCACTTTTTCTAAGTTTTTACAGAGATGCCTTATTTCCATCCTTAACCATTTCTACCATAAAATCTGAAAACCAAAGTACTCTTTGTAGATTAATTGTCTCACAACACTGAGCTCCAAGACAGCAACTTCCTTTTCCCCTTACTTGGTTCTCCTTAGTCTTTTATTTAAAGTAAAAAAAAAAAAAAAAAAGGGGGGGGGGGGGGGCAGAAAAACAACAACAAAAAAAAAACAACCTCACAGTCACCTCAATTGTCATTTTACAGAAAATTCCCAATGGTTTTACTCATTCCAGTTTCTCCTCAGCTGCACTGTTTTTGTTTTTCTCCTCAAGTAAGTCAGTTTCTTGTTTACATTAGTGGCAATTTTTTTTACCTAGACATTCTTAGTTGGCTTTATTTTGCACAATGTGAAGAGGGTATTAACTGTACCCCAGGAATACTACATCTCGTTTTCATCTCAGCAGCACCTCCATCTCCTCTCCACAGTCCCCTCAAACATTTGCCCTGAATATTCACATCACCTTAATCTCCAACATGAACTGGACACGTCGCCTGTTATTTGCTCCCCTTGACTAAGGGTCACTTGTCACTCTTTCTTACTGATAATGGTGACTTAAAAACGATGACAATCTCAAAGTTACAATGGTCACTGGTTTCAATTCTCATCAAGAATAAACTTGTTCTAAGTCCCTCCATAGCTAAAAATCTCTAATCATCTTAGCTGTCCCCTCAGGGTACACACTCACTGCTCACTGTCTCAGTAAACAGGGCATAACTTGGGGGAGAAAAAGTTAGAAAGACAGAGGTGGGACATTTTCAGGGCTTGGAACACTATGGAAAGAATTAAATGAATTACAGGCAAAAAGGAGTCCTGGAAGGTTGTTCCAAGAGGTAAATGATGTAATTACAGAAGACCCAGGAGGTCATCCAGAGGTGGTTAAAAGCACTGAGGGTCAGGAGAATGAGGAATACAAGTCTTCTGGAAGGGTCTTCAAGTGTTACTAATAAAGACCTGAACCAAGGGGACTGTAGAGACAAAGGGACAGAGAGGAAAGAAAAATATTCCCTGTAGTCTCAAAAAACCAAAAAGAAATCATAGTTGAGTGATTTCAACAAATATGCACTAGCATGAAGATCCTCATTTTGTTTAGTAGCACTTTCAAAGAAATTTCTTTCACAAAACGAAAGTGATTAAGACATTCAGAGTGATGAGTCAAGAAACTTCTTCAAGATTTGCTTAGTAAAAAGTAAATGGGAAAAGGAACTGACAGGTTTTGATTTTCCATTATTATTCTAAAAGCAAAATTCAATTTTCAGAGTAATTTGAAAATTTACAAACATCTCTGAAAATCCTTGTGAAATTTTTTCCATTACACTAATGGCAACTTCATCTACTGCATTAGTAATAAATGGACGGGAACTCACCCACGCTCAAAGTAATTCCTGACTTTTAAATTTTTATCAAAAATAGAGTTTTCTAGGACAACAAATATTTGCCGAAGTATTTTAGTTTACCAATGTCTTTATATAGGAATGACTAATTCACTCTCCCGACCAAAACAATTTCAGAAAGATGACTGGAGAGTAGAAAGAATCATTTTTTCATTCAACCATACGAGTACTTAGACTATGCTAGACCATATTCCATACTAGACACTGGGAATGCGTTAAAAAAAAAAAAAAAACAGCCCTTAACTAAAGAAAAGTCTATAAAGAAAAAAAAAAAAAACCACCCTGGGAAAGACACACAAGAGAAGTAAACATCCAGAAGGGCAATGTACACCTTACGAAAAATAATCAGACTCAGGGCACACTTCAACTTTCGTTATTTCAGTGCATTTAAATTTTCATAGGGAAAGGAAACATTTGCAAAAAGACTAGTGTGCAAATTCTCAGCAGGAAATACTTTCCATGAGCTATGTACTACTTACAAAATTGTCAAAGGATCAATTGAAAACTTAAATTCACATTTTGGAGGGAGAAGATAATTCCAACAGAAGAAAAAAAATGACTAGATATCTGACCTAAAAGCAGTTCTACAACTCTCTATGGGGCTTGAACCCAGACAATTTCTTCCTGAATTATATCCTCAATTTGTCTTAATATCTGCTACTACCTACATCATATATTAAAATAAAAAATGCATGATACATTGTTATAAGAAACTTGGAAGTTTTATATAAACCCAAAGTTCAGTATTATAAATGAGCTTTAATTAGAAAACGTCACTCTACAACAAAATACAAAAACATCTTTTCACAAAATTCTGTCACTGACAAAAGTTGTAGTTTTTCATCAATTCAGGAAACAAGTGTTTGTTGAGCATCCACTATGTGCTAGGGATGGTTCAAGAATCAGGGGGTAGGAAAGTGGGGAAAATGGGCAAATTGGTGGACCTTACATGTATTAAGAAGACACCTAGCGCTGTGGCTGTGGCTCAGTGGTAGAGTACCTGCCTAGTAAGTATGAGGCACTGGGTCCGACCCTCAGCACCACATAAAAATAAATAAATAAAATAAAGATATTTTTAAAAGACAGAGAATACACTAGGAAAATAGGAATTCATTTGAGCAAAGACCTAAAAATGATGAGTAATTGAGCCAGCAGAAGCATATTTCAGGCAGAACAAAAACCAACAGGTCTTCAACAGAGCTCATAGTTAGATCAGTGAT